ATGTATTAGTTTTCTTCTGTAGCCAAATGCTAATTTATTTTACCGAGAATATATAACGTTAAATTTACGACCATACTATAGCTGGTTTCCTATAGCTAGGTGAGCTGCCCGGCTGAAAGATGGCCGTCTCTTCTCGCATAATTACGCAAGTCTCTCCCAAAACCGCAGAATGGGTCCGACCATGCAGGAAATCTGACCCTAGGACCTTATATATTCAAGAACAGAGGCACTCAAATCAAAGTGATCGAGAAAGTTTGTAGAAACTTTTAGGTCGTCCTCACCACCCCCCTCCCCCATGCCTCGATATTTCCTGGAAACTTTTGGTAAAATTCCAGGCGAACCTTAACCTCAACTTTCGCATAAAGCATTCAAAAATGGGTAGCATACAATCACACTGAAATACCAAATAGAAATGTACCATTAAGAGTAACTATAAACCATCAAACTTCAAGTGAAACACACGTACCTGTGGTGGTGATTTGAGACCGAAGCCGAGCGCGGCGTTGGTTTTGGGTTTCCCAGCATACCCTGGGGCGGTGACCCCGCCTGATGACCCAGCGTATGTCACCATCCATGAGAATCGCTGTGCTATCGTGGAAGGCGTCGGCTGTAGGACCGGCCGACTACGCCCTTCCGATATGTATCGATGGAAGGTGGTCCCCTTTTCACGATAGTTATCGTGGAAGGCGATCGAAGGGGGTGGTAAATTCGCAATGCAGAGATAGCTCAACACTGTTATCTTGTTGTGCTGTAAATCAAGCACAGTGATATTCTGAGGTAGGCATTCGGCGTCAACATTTCCAATGTCATTGTGACTCAAATTCAGATGATTCACGCTTTTTAAGCCACTGAGGTTAAATGATATAGGGTTGTAACATGGCCATTGACCTGTGTGTCTGTTTTGTAGCTTATTGTAACTGAGATCAAGATAGTCCAAGGTCTCTGGAAGCTGAGCTTGGGAGGATCGCAAGTTGTTATGGCTCAAATCAAGATAAGTGAGCGAGGGTAGTTCGCTGAACGTCTTTTCATGTAAAGTCTCCAAGGAGCCTGACGTCCATTCCAGCCTTTGCAAATGTGACAAACCTGCAAAGGCGTTAGCTTGTATTTCTGAAACGCGAAAGGAATTAAAGTAGTCTAAAAGCCAGGCTATTCCCCGTATAGAAGAAGATAATATTCTTTGTAATGAGGTGAATTGCAGATTACGAAATGACAACTCCTGAATCTGCGTGAGTCGTAGTTCAGGTAAAACGTCCATAATGTCGCGATCGGGTAACGGTAAACCAAGAAGGTCTACTACACGCAGGGACTGCAGATGTGTGAGTGACTTCAGCAGGCCGGGAGATATCCCAGTGTTGGTGATTAAATGTTTCAGAGTTAATAATACTGGCCGGAACATGTCAACATTGATCATGGGGAAAATGCCAAATTTAAAAAATATTTCTATAGTCTCCAACTTTGACATGTTTCTAAATACAGCTCCAAAGTAGAAGTCACTGGCTCTTGGAAACGTTACATCACTTCTGACTCCCAGTGTTGTAAGGTTGTGCAGCGGTGTCCACAGCAGGTGTCGTTGTAAGAACCCACTTCCGCTGTGGACTCTTCTCATGGTGGTATTTTGGTCCTCGAGCTCAGGTTCAAGAAAGTCTACGTAATCGCCTTGATCTAGTTGATCCCATATCTTTAGACTTTCCAATGAAGTCAAAGAATAAAAAATGTGATCGGGTAAATTGCTGATATTTTTCACGGCTAGTTGTAAATGCCTGAGTTTAGTTAACCCCATGAACACTCCTTCACTGGCGACTCTATTTGTGTAAGTCTCCACGGTCAGATAGTTTAGGTTTCGCAGATCTTGGAAAAGTCCATATTGAAGAGAATACATTTGTCTTGTATCTGTTTCTAGAAAAAAACTCGAATCATCAAAATTATACCGACCTGCTATATCAAGACGTTCTAATTTCTCCAACCCAGCGAACGTACCAACTTCGATAGTTTGTAGAGCATTACAAGACAGGTCTAATGATCTCAGGTTTCTTAACCCACTAAACGATCCGTTGTACAGTATAGTTATGTTGTTCCAACTGAGATCCACTGTGATGACAGACTCGGGGATGCCGGGAGGTACTTGGGTCAGAGGCTCTCGGGACCGTATGGATTGAGCAGGTAGAAAATCCGGTATATCCGTATCCCCATTACACACAACAGTTGTTGAGTTCCAGGTCTGACACACGGGTGGGGAGAAGAGTTTTCCTCTAACCCGTCCATGTTGGGCGATGAACGCGGAAACCACAGCGAAGCAGACGGCGAGAGGAGCGGGTTTAGACTTCATGTTGGGTTGTTCTCGTTGTGAAACTGCCAACAGAATGTACGCACAGTTGGTAAGTATTTATCGTTTATGAGACAGAAAGGAAAGCAATATATAATAGTGAAATAAATCATAATGGCAAACGGTTACAGTCTATCGTATCCAGAACCGTGCCAATCTAGTTCTGTGCCTGAATCAAATGGTTTAGGTTTTGAGAATCAGGCACGGTTCTGGATAGTCTGAATTGTATAACCGTGTATGAGCACAAAATCATGTCTTGATAAAGCACGTTCTGGATGAAAATATTCCTATTTGAAATAGAATGCCATGCCATAAGAATCATGATAACAATGTATCAAATAGCCGTGTCATAGACTTGACCTCTTTGTTTGGCTGCATTCAAGAACAAGAATTCGGAGATTCCATGCCTCCATGAAATATATAGAGTTTATGTAAATGTTTGTCGAGGAATTTTTCTCATTCAAAAATAAGATCATAATTACCATAATCTAGTTAAAGTTATGGTTTTCTAAACTCAAATTATAATATTTTGCTTGTGAAATTCCTATCTTTTGGCAATATTTCAAGTAAACATGTCTTCATTAATTATGCAAATGGCCTCTATATTACCATAATATATATGCATGTTAATGTACCTTTAAGTAACTTACACATGTTACGACGTATAAAATTCCCATCATTCACCATAGATAAATCACAGGCTTCCCAAAATCTAATCATCTCTAGGTTTCATCAAGACCTACCCACCTACCAAGTTTCATGACAATGCATATTTAGCTTCTTGAGTTATGCTGTTCACAGAAAACAGACGGACAAACGCTAATGAAAACATAACCTTCTTCGCCAAGGTAAAAATACGATCATCACGGGTATGCATGCAGACGACGTATGAAATTACATGCAAACAAAGGGATCTGTGAGTTTTACCTACTAACACGTAAAACCAACTGACCACAATACTCCTTCAGGAGCAATTATAGCCCAGTTTTCAAACAAGAATTTGTAGATTTCATACCTACATGAAATACATGAGTTTTTGTAAATGTTTTTTTTGTCTCATTGACTATGGAAATAAGGTCGTAATTAGCATAATCTAGTTTAATTTATAGTTTTATAAATTCAAATGACAATGTTTTCGTGTAAAATTCCTCTCCTTTGTCATGCCTCATTTCAACATGTCCTCATTTCAACCTTAATTATGCAAATGACCTCTACATTAACATAATATATGCATAGTGGACTATGATGATTAGTGGTGTTAACCTTTAAGTAACTTACACATGTCACAAGGTATAAAATTCGGGTCATTCACCAATAAGGAGTCACAAAATTTTCACATTAATTATGCAAATTAGGTCATCATGTGCATAATTGGTATCTGCTGATGTTCCGCCTGCCACAGATTAAATAGATTACATGACATTGTATAGTAGTACCATTATATAAAATACTGTAATTATAGAATGTCCTCATTAATTATGCAAATTAAGTCATCATTTGCATAATTTGCATCTAATTATGTACAACTCTCTCTCAGCTACCTACCTACCAAAAATGATGAAAATACGTTGTTCCTATCTGGACTTATTGGCTTTGAAAGTTTTTACCAGAAACTAACCTGCAGTTCCATAACAAGCTGCTAGGGGGACCAAACCCACACCACTTATTCCTGACAGGAAAAGCTATCTGTCACCAAAAAGTCAAGACCATAGCATGTTCAGGACAAAAGATACAAAAACCGGACGTTCTGCTGCAGTACCAAGGTCATCCACAAGGAGGCCCATATTTGACCTTGACCTTCGTCTTTCTAAGACTTACCAAATATTATCACAATCCATAAAGGCGTTATTTAGTTATGCTGACTACAAATGTGCGGAAACACAAACACACACACACACACACACACAGACGCGCCAAAAACAATACCTCCATTTTTTTGGAGGTAATAACTGTGTAATACAATGAAGATGCATTCTATATACAAGATAGACACCAAAACATCATCCTAACGAAACAGTCACCTCCCCCTTCATGGAGGTGAAAAAAGTGAGAGAAATCCCATTTCTTGTTTTTTTTTTCTGATAAAAACAAAACCAGGATATGAGCGGTAATTCTCAGTTGTCCTATTGTGAACTATTACTAATGATGTCCATGAACCAAGCAAAGAACTTTATGGGACCTGATCTTTAACTGCTGGAGTCTAACATGTCACATGTGAGGTCGCCTTGCCTTAGGGAATCATCCATATATGGTCTGTTTTGATCTTTCAATGGGTGTGTCAGTAACATGTGAAAATGTCAAAGTACATATCTCTGTACTGTCATGTATATGTTTATTTTCAAACAAACAGAACACAAGTACAAACAACTTAAGGAGAAGGAGCGATCGGGTATGAGAGAACCGGTATACAAATAGGATGACACCCAGGCTAACTTCGAAAACGGCGAAGGCCGTGATTTTCACGATATCTTTAATATTTTCTGAGATATAATAGGAGAGGAGGGCCAAGGGAAAACCCCTCCCGTAGAGAGCCATGGCTGTTTTAGAGCTAGAGGGGAGCCACCGATTTACTAGTAAGTTTCAACCCATCAACACACGAACTGACACATACAAGTAACACATACTTTGTAACATTGATATGCAAATTTCCATTACCTTCTTTATTTATTTCATTTGTTATAATAATTCGTTTGTTTCATATAATTCAGTAGTTTGCTGTATGATTTTGAAGCACTTCTATCAATATGATATTATTACCTCCATGAAAAATGGAGGTATTGTTTTGGGCGTGTCTGTCTGTCTGTCTGTATGTATGTTTGTATGTATGTATATCTGTGTGTGTGTGTGTCTGTCTGTCTGTCTGTGTGTGTTTCCGCAACTTTGTGGTCAGCATAACTTCAGAACGCCTTTATGGATTATAATGATATTTGGTATGTTGGTAAGTCTTAGGAAGACAAGCGTCAAGGTCAAATATGGGTCTCCTGGTGGATGACCTTGGTACTGCAGCAGAACTTCCAGTTTTTGTATCTTTTGGCCTGAACATGCTATGGTCTTGATGTTTTGGTGACAGATTGCTTTTCCTGTCAGGAATAAGTGGTGTGAGTTTGGTCCCCCTAGCAGCTTGTTCTGGAACTGCAGGGCACTTTCTGGCGAAATGTTTAAAAGCCAATAAGTCCAGATAGGAACAACATATTTCCATAATTTTTGGTGTGTAGGTAGCTGAGAGAGAGATGTACATGATTAAATGCAAATTATGCAAATGAGGACTTTATTCGCATAATTAATGAGGAAATTCTATGATTACAGTGTTTTACATTATACTACTTTCATACATGTAATGTATGTAACCTATGGCAGGCAGAACATCAACAGATACTAATTATGCAAATGATGACCTAATTTGCATAATTTATGCAAAAATTATATGATTTCTTAATGGTGAATAATGGGAATGTCATACTTGGGACATCTGTAAGTTAATCAAAAGTCAACATACATCACGATGCATATATCATGTTAATGCAGAGGTAATTTGCATAATTAAAGAGAAAATTTACATTTACATATCAAGCCCATATTTCTTGGAGGTATGAAATCTCAGAATTCTTGTTGCAATTAAGTTATTTTGTATCTTTGTTTTCTTGTTTGTTTGTTTGTTTTAAGTATATTTTGTAAATGTATGTCCGCAGGGAACATTGAAAACGCCCTTGCGGCGACGTGTTTTACCCTGAGTAAATGAATAAAAATGAAAAATAAACAAGTACTCATTTCCCCCATATCTGGGTGGAACTCGTTGTCTGGCCTGGCTTCTGACGACCTAGCCTGGTATCCAGTCTGATCGTGATTGGGAGTATTGGAGTGTTCAGGCATGTTGTGTCTTCGGGGGCTCTAATAGCTTCCCCCGCCCAGTGCAACAGGCCGTCCCGGTAGGAGTATTACGCTGATAAGAGACAATATGCTTGGGGATTTGGTTTCCCCCAACACTTCCTGGAGGGCTAATCAATCTCTCATGAAATACACACCGGGAAACCTATGTGAGGCGGGCGGGACAGAGCTCTTGCGGCCCCGACCACGATCAGACTGAATACCAGGCTACTGACGACCGACTCTATCCCCGGTAAATATCGTACAAAGGTCCGACACGCCGACTGTCATGTTACATTGCGAAGAAACAGTACAAAGAAAGACTCACCATGTACCACAGATTAGATAGCTGGCTATGCAGGTCGTCTGTCTTGACGTGTTTCGGTGGTGTCCGGTTGTGCCGAAGTGACTGCGTGTTGCGAACTACGCTCTGTAGTTGTGCAGGTGGTCGGACTGGCGGGGCCGGATTCCAATGGTGGGTTCGTCAGTGACGCTTTTGGCCGTATTTATCTGAAGTGACCCAAACCGCGATTCTGGTAACTCACATTCCTCACATCTGGTCCACGTGCCATGCATTCCTTTCAAACCGTGCCCGATTCTCCGAAACTGAATTCATTGTTGTTTGATGAAAACACGTAAGGTATCGTGTTATCAATGTCAGAGGTCAACGACCTGCTTGCTAGTGCCCCCCTCCCAGCGTATCTCGGCCGAATGCCGACGTGGTCCCGCCATTATTTGACCTTGATTACTTCTCTTTAAGATGCTGCCACGTAGAATTTGGTATTGCATATAAATAAAGAAATATCACCCCGTAATCCATGATCAGGCGAAGTTACATTGAAATCACATTGCGTTCAGACGCAAATCACGATGCGGGAAACCGATTCGAAACCACCTCTAGAAGTGGCTTAGGATCGAGGCTCTTTCAATGCGATTTGGAGCGTTCAGATGGAGTCACTTGAAACCGGCTTCGGGGTAAACCACATGTAAAGCGCCTTCACTGACTTCACATAAACACGACCTTTGTCAGTTACCTGTACACAGCTAGCGAGCTTAAGATCGAACAAAGGATAGCTGCCTTTTGTCCTGTATGCGCAAAGGTGTAATTTAGTTCATACAATGAGGGTAAAATCATACACGGTCTGTCTTCTGTGCGTCAAACAAATTCTGAAGGTCAATAGCTCAGCTGCAGTGCTGTCCTGAAAACTTAGAGACTTAGAGTAGAACTTAGTTTCCTAGATCGTCTTTTGAAACATGTCACAACTGTAACAAGTAGTCATAGGCAAGTCTCCGTGAAGTTTTGTATTTTGCAGATTGGGAACAGTAAGGCGAAGTTAACCTCACGACCCCCCACCCCCGTTCGGCGGTTCAATTGCAACGAACAGACGGGCTACACATAGGCCGGGCAGAAACATTTCAGCGACATTATAGGGGTGTTTCTAAAGTATGCATTTTCTTATAAAGGCCTTCACTTCAATATGAAAACTGCTACAGTGAAAAGAAAAGAAGTGCATCATCACGAACATAGCGGCACACCACATGCCCAATTGCATAGTAATACAAATAGTAATGTACAATGAAGGTGAAGACAACCATGACTTTTCACGTTCAACCATGACCACATTAGAAAACGGCACACCATTTCGACTTTCTACTCTTCTATTTATTACCTCCATGAAAAATGAAGGTGTTGTTTTTGGCGCGACATGTGTGTGTGTGTGTGTGTGTGTGTCTGTGTTTGTGTTTCCACACATTTGTAGTCAGCATAACTCCATAACACCTTTATGGATTGTGATGATATTTGGTATGCTGGTAAGTCTTAGGAAGACGAAGGTCAAGGTCAAATATGGGCCTCCTGGTGGATGACCTTGGTTTTGCAGCAGAACTTCCGGTTTTTGTATCTTTTGTCCTGAACATGCTATGGTCTTGTATTTTTGATGACAGATAGCTTTTCCTGTCAGGAATAAGTGGTGTGGGTTTGGTCCCCCTAGCAGATTGTCCTGGAACTGCAGGGGACTTTCGAGCGAAATCTTTAAAAGCCGATGAGTCCAGATAGAAACAACGTATTTTCATCATTTTTGGTAAGTAGGTAGCTGAGAGAGAGATGTACATAATTAAATGCAAATTATGCAAATGAGGACTTTATATCCATAATTAATGAGGAAATTCTATAATCACAGTGTTTTACATTATAGTACTTTCATACATGTAATGTATGTAACCTATGGCAGATGGAACATCAACAGATACTAATTATGCAAATGATGACCTGATTTGCAAAATTAATGCAAAAATTCTATGATTTCTTAATGGTGAATAATGGGAATGTCATACTTGGGACATCTGTAAGTTAATCAAAAGTTAACAGCACGATGCATGTATTATGTTAATGCAGGGTTCATTTGCATAATAAAGAAGAAAATTACATTTACATGTAAAGCCCATATTTCATGGAGGTATGAGATCTCGGAACTCTTGTTAAAGCTAGTAATAAGAGTTGGAGTCCGCGGAGGATATCATCAATTAAATTTACTTCCTAATTTCAAACATCGTGATAGTGTGTACTGAGTGAATCATTTTAAACTTCATCCTTGGCCTTACAAAGGCAAAAAACAGTAATGTTACTCTATAATACCATAGATACCATACCGTAGATAAAAGTCAGCAATATAAGCAAAATATCCTTCTACCCATTCTTTCCGGTATAACGTTAAATCGTAGGCAAGACCATTCTTAGGTAAACATATTGCATTTGCTTGCATATGGTACCTTTCTAGTTGATATATCACTTATACTCAATGTTGGATTGCAAGTTCTCTGCCTTGATATTAAAAAGTGTAATAGATTGAAATAATGCTTGTGGTAAATCAACAACGATTGAATTATATGTAGTTCAAATATAAGATATTGAAATATCTTTAGTCTCTGATATTTACCTTCGCCAAGAAGGCTATGTTTTCAAGTGTAATAAAGTGTTTCTATATAGAAATGCTATCATTCTCTTCATGGTCGAGTGGGGATGGATGGTTTGTTTCTCTTCTATAAGGCCACAGCAAGTAAATGTTATGGATGACATCATTCACAGACTCCCAATCTAATGCGAGCGGGCGAAAAAAAACAAGGCGGGCCGAAAAAAACAAGGTCCCTTCAATTTAAAATTTTGACTCAATCTTTGTACAAATGGTTTTGATTCAGTAGGAACATCACATATATATATTCCAGAATTTCTCGCCATGAATTCATCTAGCAAATTCAGATACTTGTTGACTTTTGACAATCCATACATTGTGAATATAGGACAGTATTTTAAAGAATGTCTAAACGTAAGAAATTCTTTTAATGATTGTATAAGCGCCTTTCCATCCCATATCACCTAGTATTGTACTACGTAGACTGATTTGTTAGATTTGTTCTCTCATTTCTGCCATACTTTGTACCTTGTACATTGTTGCGTAATAAAAGTCACATCCACGTCGGGTGTGTCAATAAGTGTTTCATATTCACAGCCAGCATCACATATCACTGCATCAAAGTAAGAAACAAAACAATAAATCAGAGCCTTTTCATGTCTCCTCTCTTCATAGTTATCTGCCGTCCACCTTCTGGCATGGCAACAGACATCTTTGCCCATTTTCGGCATGGTGACCACTGTCAGAAGGCAACAAAAGGTGTTTTTTTTTCTAAAATCAGGCGAAAATTAATGCGCGCGCTGATGCCATCCATAAAATTACTTGCTGTGGGCTAAGCATCGATATATATCGAATCTACAGCAACGTTTTTCTGTAGGCATACTTGAGCTTCTTTTCTCTCTCTGTAAAATCTTAATTTTTCCATCATCAGACCCCCCTACAGTCCTTATTGGTTTGATCCGCAGAGTTTTAGGAAGCCGTCGGACAACTTTTTAAAATCACAGAACCGAGGCTAGTGTCAAAGGTCACAATTGTCTGTTGCAGAACCATTTGCGAGGGCCTGCATGCCTTTTTCGTAAGGCGTAATCAGGCCTTTTTGGTCGTCGTAATCCGCAGGCAGCCTCCCCAAAAATCAACGCAGTTCGTAATAGTACATTAGCCGGAAATCGTAAAGTCGTAACCAGCTCTGAGACGTTAACGTAATTCGTAATCGGCGGCGAAAATTTTGCGTAATTCGTAATCACTACCCCCATGCAGGCCCTCATTCATGAATACTTACTACTTATGAAGCGTATTGACACGATATCCGTATCTCACCGGTATCAGATCGTCCAATATATAACATCGACGTGCCTGCATATCCAAACATTATGAAGAGGCCGTGGTTTGTTTGTCTAGCTGTCTGTGTTTTTGTGGTTAAAGAAGTGAAGCCAGACTCTCCATGGCAGAGATCTACAACAACAGAAGACATGCAGGAAGTTTTGAACACTTTTTGTTGTCCCAGGCGTCTGCGGTGCTGCCTACCAAACAAGAGAGTTGGTGAGATTTGGCATTTGTAATTAATTCATTATAACTTGATTTGATACCTACCTACCTTTTGCTTATTTGACTGGATTAGAGGTGGGTTTGTTTATTCACCCTGATAGCTGAGAAACACAACTGTCAATGTTTTTATATGTAGATTTTAGTCAGGGAAGGTGGCTAAATGTAGCACGTCGGCAGAACATACTGCACACTACTGTACACTACTTCCTACACTGCCCACTGTACACTGACGAACGTATTGACATGTTATCATCTCTAACTAACATCCTGCCATTTGACATAAACAACGCCACCGACAATATCTTATGTTCAACTATTCTCAGGGGTAACCCCTCATTGTCGTTTGTCAACAACTGTAAAATATTTGACGTGGTTTTCAACTTCATTTTGCAGACAGGACGTTTTGTTTGTTAGTTGATTGATTTTGATTTGTACACCAGCTCATTATGTACCTTTGTCCTTTCTTATTATTATTATTACTTTGTTTTATTGTTTCCTTTTATGTGTGAGGAGAGGGCTGACATAAGTTTCATAACTTTTTGCCCAATCCTCGAAAAATAAATGTGAATAAAATAAATAAATAAATGACATACCGCACCTGCACCAGTGCGTAATTATTGATCTTCGATATTCCGATGTTCTTTAGTAATTGATGAAGTGGATGAAACCGAGGCTCGTGTGTGGCTTCGACAGTACAACGACGAGCTGCGCAAGCGCAAAACATCGTTAATGGAAGCCAGCTGGGCCCACAGTACCGACATGAACCCCGCCACCGCGGCGGCTGCGATCCAGGCTAACAACCACGTCCACGAGTGGAAATTAAAGAAACTAAAGGAGGCTAGGAGGTTCGTTAGATTGCCAATATAGTTTTGATACGCCTAATAATACGGATGAAGTTTTTTTTTAAAGGAAAATCTGTATAAGGCCATACCAGTTTAATTGTTGTTTCTCTGAGTCGCCCTGTCCATTTTTTTCTGATTTGCAAAAAAGAAAAAAAAATGTTCTAAATCGACTGCATAATGCTCAATGAAAGACATATTTTGGCCCCAATGGTTGAAGAAAGTCCTTTTCTTCCTGTTTTTTTTTTAAGTTTTTCAATGTAACAATGCAATTTTGTTTCATCAAAAGTTCAAAATTTATTGTTTTAATTATAAACCAGCCTGGTATGTTCACTTCATGGCTCATATTGTAACATTTCCGGTTAACATGGGGTGCCTTTTTCTGAAAAAATCTGAGAAACAACAAATCTTAATTGGTGTGGCCTAACATGAAATTGCATGGAGTAGATTTTAAGTCGTGCCATAATGTTCTGGCCTTTTCTTTCATGTTTTCAACTTTTTATATATTTTTGTACTTATATGTATTCAAATGTTCATCTTTACTGTCCCACTGATATGTATATATACGTTTATTCACTTGTACCTAGTGTAGAGGTGTGAGATTCATCATCATTAATAGATAATATGCGGTAAACCATATCAGATTGATAACCCACCCTTCCTTGCTCCCATCTAATACCTTTTGTAAAATTCTACCGTTATAAAGAAGAACTATATTGCACGACAATTGCACATGGTACAATGTATGGCAAACCACATAAAGAAAGTAACAAACAATAAAATAGATGTGTTGAATAAGACCTAATGTCGAATAAAACCTAACGTATCTTAATTACTCAAACAACAAGGGCTAGCACAAGTCTTTGATAAAGTGTTACAATCGAGTGGGCTAATCACAAGTTTCGGTATTTTTTCTAATAACAAAGCATTCCTTTTAGTCCATGGGCCAGGTCCCCAAAAATGACAATTTGTTACCAAACAGAGGGACAAAGGATGACTTAGTTTTTAAGAAAGGTTGGGTCCTCTAGTTTATCATTATGCATGATAACCATTGCAGCGTGGCAGCTTTGACCTTGTTATCTGACCTTGAACTTTGACCCTACACGAACCATGTCTTTTTCTACTTTAATGCAAAGGGGAGTGGCAAATAATCAAATATGGATATTTTTGAGATTTAAACTAAGTGGGCTAATAAATCAGACACCAAGGATCACAAAAATGTCAATTTTGTTCCAATATGTCATTTCTAAGAGAAGTTACGAGCTTTTGAAATTCGATTTTTTTGTAAAAATTGGTAAAAAAATGGAATGTTTACTTTTCAAAACCTGTCAAATATACAGATTGCATTTTCAAGCCTAGGTCATGAATTCATCTGATTTGTTACACTTTTCCCTACATTTTAAGCTTTAAATCGTAAAAATCCATCAATCCAATCTGGAGATATGAGTATCTAAAAGTTCTATTCCCACAGGCCTTCTGTGGGGAAGCTGTTGCTAGGGCCGTTGCTAAGGAGGCACTGGGCTGCTTTCTCAGTAAAATGTAGTGCATACCATAAGTAAAACGTGAAGAAAACTTTTATCGGTGGAAAATTGTCCATTTTCAGGGCCTCAGAAATTCATACCATGTTTCCATGGTAACCGTTGCTAAGGAAAATACATCTCCCTAGCAACGCAGAGGATAAGACTTCTATACGGTTTCATAAATAGCAATAGAGGGATACCTGTGGGGGAATGTGCTGTTCCTGACGATGTTGAGTGAAGTATCTGAGTATAGATATAAATGGCAGCTCATTTTG